GCTGTTTGCTCACGCTGCTGCCTGCTATAATTAGTCTTTACTCTGACCCAAACCCACAGCGGAGGCAGAGCCAGGGAGAACGTCTCCAGGGCTCTCTGGGACTTGTCAAACAGAGGACTAATTGTTAATGTTGGTGATTATTAGGTATCTTTGAGTGGAGAGAGCTGAATTCCTCAGTAATGGCTGTGACTGCTGCTGCCGCTCATGTGACTGTGGGTTTGGATGCTTCATTGTTGATCTGCAGGGCGACAGGGAGAAGCTCACTGGGTGGAGTCTGTCTGGACATGCTGACTCCTGGGCTCACACTGCTGGAGCTTTAACACACCCTCACCTCAAGTATTACACACCTTGGCTGCATGGAAGCAAAAAACATTCACTGTGTTGTTATTACAAAGCGTGCTGTGCTCTCAGAGAAATTAACATAGATTACTCATAGCATTTATAGAGTTGAAGTGATAAATTGTGAGAGGTCAAACCAGGGTATCGTTCCTTCTTTGGTTGTTATTTTGGGGGATTCTAGATTCATAAAGAGGTACAAGGATCCAGGATTTCATAGTAGACGGTTGTTTTTCACATCTGTGATTCTGAGTGTCCTTAAGTACTGTAACACCACATGGTACTTTTGTAATACTCTGTCTAAAGACCGGTCTGGAGACCACTTTTAAAAGGTCTCCAAAGTATCAGATTTTAAATCAAGACCACCAGTGATCTGCTAATTGTCCACGTCATTACTGTGATTAGAAGGAAAAAAAATCTCTTTCATTTCAGGTTTGATTTTTTTTCATCTCCGGGGGGTTACGGCCGCAACATTCCCAGTTTCATGGTCTAAAGTAAGAGACACGCCTGCTGCACACAAGATGATGATTTTTCTGTTATATTCATTGGTCTTGGTCTTGTCTCGGTCTTGGGTATGTCTTGGTCTTGACTTGGTCTTGATCCCTAAATGTCTTGGTCTTGTCTCAGTCTCGGAGCACTCTGGTCTTGGTCTTGACTTGGTCTTGTCTTGGTCCTGGGTATGTCTTGGACTTGTCTTGGTCTTGGGTATGTCTTGGTCTTGACTTGGTCTTGATCCCTAAATGTCTTGGTCTTGTCTCAGTCTCGGAGCACTCTGGTCTTGGTCTTGACTTGGTCTTGTCTTGGTCCTGGGTATGTCTTGGACTTGTCTTGGTCTTGGGTATGTCTTGGTCTTGACTTGGTCTTGGCTGTGTCTTGGTCTTGGGTATATCTTGGTCTTGACTTGGTCTTGGCTGTGTCTTGGGTATGTCTTGGTCTTGACTTGGTCTTGGGTATGTCTTGGTCTTGACTTGGTCTTGGGTATGTCTTGGTCTTGACTTGGTCTTGGCTGTGTCTTGGTCTTGGGTATATCTTGGTCTTGACTTGGTCTTGGCTGTGTCTTGGTCTTGGGTATATCTTGGTCTTGTCTTGGTCTTGTCTTGGTCTCTGAGCACTCTGGTCTTGGTCTTGACTTGTTCTTCTCTTGGTCTTGGGTATGTCTTGGTCTTGGGTATGTCTTGGTCTTGTCTTGGTCTTGGGTATGTCTTGGTCTTGGGTATGTCTTGGTCTTGTCTTGGTCATGGGTATGTCTTGGTCTTGTCTTGGTCTTGGGTATGTCTTGGTCTTGACTTGGTCTTGGCTGTGTCTTGGTCTTGGGTATGTCTTGGTCTTGACTTGGTCTTGGCTGTGTCTTGGTCTTGTCTTGGTCTCTGAGCACTCTGGTCTTGGTCTTGTGTTGGTCTCCTTTACTGTGGTCTTGAACACTATCTCTCTATCTATCTATCTATCTATCTATCTATCAAAAAATCTAGTGATGACCCACATCCCCACCATACAACCAGCCCCTCTCTCTACACCTTCTCCTTTACCTTCTAGTTGTGATCTCAACACCACAAAGGCTGCATTAACCCCTTCAGTTCTTATTTTAATGACCGTTTATCAGGCCGTGGCAGCAGCTGACAAAACTGGTCATTTCATTATTAAGAAATGTAAAGCACAGCAGCTCTATTAGTGGTTTCTATGACCCATGTGACTAAATGTTTTCATATTCATGTTCCCACATCGTCTTTGTGTTTAATCATCAGCTTCTCCTAAAGTTGCACCATCATTTTTAAAACGACTCCTTAGAGTTCACAGATGATGACGTCGTGTGGCCGGCTATAATCTCTGACATCTAACACGTTCATTATCACAAAGCCGTTCACTCCTGTTCAGATGCTAATTTGTGGCTCTGGTGAAACTGCCACCTCCAAAGCAAAAATCTGCAAACAACTTAAACCCACACCGGGAGTATTTCATCTTCTGTTATTCTCACTTTCAAACTCAGGAGAACAGAAACCGGCTGTGTGGAGTAATGGGACTGTATCTGCTGTCATTGGGCTTGATGTGCTTGTTTTGCCTCTTTAAAATGAGGCCCCTCAGGCTCAACAGGCTGGTGAGAAAGGACCCTTTATTAGCAGGGAGACAATTAGCATAGCTCTATGTACACAGCTTTAGGAGACCTCTCCCCAAATGTCTGAGTCGAGCACCTGTATTGACGTTTGGGAGAACACTTCGCCTCAGTGTTCAGGTCCAGCTGAGAGTGAGAGCACAACATGTCAGCGTGCGCGCAGCCGGACGCAGGACCTGTGAATACCTGGGAGGAGTTCAGCAGAGGAGGGGTGTGTGTGTGTGTGTGTGTGTCTGTGTGTGTGTGTGTGTGTGTGTGTGTGTGTGTGTGTGTGTGTGTGTGTGGCTGCTTGTGGAGAAAGTAAAGTTGATTCAATCAGTGATTACAACAGGAAGGAATTTCAAAGTTTGTGCTGATGGGAAATCATGAATTGAGTTGGAAACTTCACCAAAATGATCCTCCAGGGTCGTATGAGTAGAAATTATTCACCCAACCAGACCGCTACTCAAAGATAAATTATCTAATTTAGCTTTTATACTTCAGATTTTTTAATCTTAATTAGCGCGTTAGCTTGCACAGTTCATTGATAGCGCTTCATTTCACATGTTTCATTTTCCATTCTCCTTTTGAAATCATCGACAAATCAGATCATCTCAAAGTTACAGAACTGGTACAAAACGTTCTCTACTCTCCATCCACTTCCTTCTCAATTATGTCGCTCCTTCCAGAAAGTCGTAATCAAGTCAAATTCTTATAAAAGACAAGATTTGAATCATCAGCGTGTTGTTTTCAGACACTCAGGCATCCTGGTTAAGATGATTCATCTTTATCTTAGATTAAAAACATTAAACCAGCTCCGAGCCGAGAAGTCAGAAGGACTAAACATCTCCTAAAATGGTTCTTTCATATCCGTTTATAACACTCGACAAGTATATGAACACGTGTGCATAGAGGTTATTTGTAGTTTTTTATGTTTTGGTGTTTGTGCTAAGCTAAGCTATAAGTGACGGCTAACTTCACTTTATATTTGACAAACAGATCTATTTCTCATCTAAGTGTTATTTTAAATATTCTTCTCCTGTATTCATTTTAATGTCTTATTGCTTTTATGTGTTGTATTTTATTTTCTAATTTTTATCTATATATTTTTTTTAATTCTTATTGGTGTGCATTAGTCTCTCAATGATTTTATAAACTACTTTTTCTTCAATAACTTTTCTGAATTTTTTTAATTTGTCTGAAAGGTGCTGTATAAATAAAGTTTGATTGATTGATTTTATTGATCAAAAAATCAAAGGATTGTGGGCTAATTCCCAAAAGGACTACATTTCCCTTCAAGGATTCTAAAAATACTGACAACAATATTCACACTTTTCAAAGTTTAAAAGTGAAAAATTAAAACTTCTGTAAGATTGCAAAAGATTGATAAGTACTCGATGAATATAAAATCAGAAATCATGAATCAAAATCCCCTCACAGCCACATAGACTGTAAATGATTCTGCTGAGTCTTAGCATATGAATGTAGCTGTGATCTCTTGTTATAGTAAACGGTTGTATATAGTTTCCCTCGAAACTCTGCTTCACTTTTGTGTTCCAAGAAAAAGAAACTGAGTCATAATTTCATACAGCTCAGTCAGCTGTTTAACTGGAAACAAGACACACCACCCACATCATTATCAGGGATCAGTCGAGTAATGATGAAACTCCTCGATCTATCAATCTAACGCCTGCTGTAATGTGTCACCTCCCTTTAAAAAAAAAAAATAAACATGAATATCAGGAAGAGTAACAGCCAAGTTTGAGGCTGAAGTAGCATTTTAAAGGCCAAAAGCTGATAATTAATTTAGATCTATAAGGAGAAGTAAGTCCCACCAAATGGGCTTCAATATGTGTTTAATAAATCAACATCTGGGTGCTGGATGGCCCAGCGGTTATGTAGCACGACCCATGTACAGAGTCAGCGATCGTGGGTTCAAATCCGACATCTGCCCTTTGCTGCAAGTCATCCCCGCGCTCTCTCCTCCCAACACGTCCTGGCTCTCTTCAGCGGTCCTCTCCATTAAAGGTTAAAAAAGATTGGCCCAGAAAATATAAAACTATAAATAAACAATAAATAAATAAAATAAAAATAAACAAAACTCAGATTAACAAGAGGCCTTATACGACCAGAAAAACATAAGATATCCTCCCAGTTATTGAACGATAAAACAGATAAAGCTCATTAAAAGAACATTTACAGGCTCTATCATTGTGCTGTTTATATAACGAGAATATGAGCTATACCTATCTTTAGGTTTCTCAGCTTTAAATCAGGAATTACATTTTTGTTGTTGTGTTTTGTAATTATGTTTCCCTAATCCACCTCTCAGAGAGCCTTAATGTTGTTTGTTTATTCTCAAACTCACCACCAGGGGCTCATTGAAGGGTGATAATACAAATGTCCTGATGTGATATATATATGCAGCTTATACTTATTAAATGAACACCATCGATGACCATATGTAGCCTGTGTGTATTTTGTCACGCAGGTTGTAAAGTGGCAGATAGTGAGTGGGGAGGAAGAGGCAGGAAGCGGCGTGGGCAGCCTCCCTGTGTCACCGCCTGCGTCAGATCAGAGACGCCAGGGAGGGAGTTTTCCACTGACGAAAAAAGGCTGCGCTTCTCGGCAGTCTGCTCCAGACAAGGGAAGCGCTTCAGCTGGTACGGAGCCTCCGTATACAGCGCGGACACACACACACTCTCACACACACTCACACACACACACACAGAGACAATAGCAAAGCCGAGAGCTGTGGAGTCTGTATGCGGGGTTCAAGCAAAGCAAAGCGCCGCTATTTATTCGTGCCATTTTGGATTACTTGGCTGTAAAAACCAGGCGAGATTTCGTCACCGATGGTGATCGGATACGCGACTTGGTGGTGAGTAGACACAGAATGGAGAGTCCGCTGCTGTTGGCTTTATTGAATGTGTTGAACCAGAGAGAACAAGGGGAGCCACATACTTCTTATTCCGTGTCATTTAAAGGGACTACACTCTGTGCGTAATGTGCCGAAGAAACGCTGAACGCTGATTCTCTTTTGACACTTTCTGTCATTTTAACTTGAAGGCTGATTATCCAAACGTTTGGGTTAATTATCTAACCTGCTAAAGTGAGTTTGAACTAACTAGTGTCGCTCACACAGGTGATAGAAAACGTGACAATGGAGAAGGATTAAAAATGATTTGTTGATGTAGGCGAGATCCAAACAATTCGCTTCATCCATTTATCGATTTTATAGACTCTAGTATCGATCTCTGCTTATTCAGGTGGTGCTTTTAAATCCTCACAGCTCACACTTCTGCTTTTTGACATTACGCTGTGTGTTCTTTTTGTTTATGAGGCTGTGGGTTTATCTGTGTGAACTGTTTATGAGGTCGGCTTTGTGTATTGGAGTTCTCGTTCACCTCAGCTCAGCGCCTCTTGTAACACGAGCGACTCCTGAAGGCACTAACATGTGAGCACACACACACACACACACACACACACACACACACACACACACACACACACACACACACACACACACACACACACACACACACACACACACACACACACACACACACACACACACACACACACACACACAGCTGACAGACAGGGGCTGCTGTCATTAGAATTAGCATTAATCACGTGGAAGTGATCGGGTCATCTTTTGGCATTTTTTAGCCAAATATAATGATTAATTGTTGATTTACAAAATCTCGCGGGAAGCTGTTTAACAGTTTAATGTACAGCAGCAGTGAGACGGGGAGACCCTTTATTGTTTAAACATTTTTAATTCATTACACCACGCTGATGTTCCCTGCTGCTCATTGGCTCATCAGCAGCGTCAATTTGAGGCATGAACCACATTTGTGCTGATTGTATTTCCTAAGGGAAGCTGTTATTAATGCATTATTTTCTGGATGTATTCTACCTTTAAGAGCCTCAGAATCAGCTTCTTCTTTTTTTCTCTAAGAAGCGACTTAACCAACTGAATCGTCTCTAGCGCGACCTCACCCGGATCCTTTTTGGAATCATGTTTTCTGGAATTAGTGCTGGAGAGAGCTCAATGATCCTTTGTTTACAGAGAGAACACAGCAGCAGCAGTCAGTCTGTGCTGTGCTTTTCATGTGGCATGCTTTTTTTCCTCCAGGAATGTGCCGAGCTTTAAAACAATTCTTTTTTTCCAAATCTCGTTTCTCCATCTTAAAGCCCTCTGATTGAATTCTATCCAGTCTGTTGCATTTTCCTAAACTTATAGCCTATAACAAAAAGAGCTGTGTGTCATATGTGAAGGATTTACATCTTGACTCCCTCCTCTCCCATTATTTGATCCTGTATTTAGCTAACCTTGCTGTTCCTGCAGCTGTCAGACACAGCGCAGATAATCTGGATGGCCACTTCCTGTGTAGCACGTTCAGTGTATGTTTCACAACCCCGGGAAGCTCACACACACACACACACACACACACACACACACACACACACACACACACACACACACACACACACACACACACACACACACACAACACACACACACCAGCATTCCTCACTGCAAGTGTCCCAGACTGGAGCACGACCCCTGAACCAACCCCCCTCCTTTCTATCTTCCCTTCCTCCACACACACACACACACACACACACACACACACACACACACACACACACACGCTTAAAGCTGCATGTTATATGCGAAGCAATTTTTGCTTGAGAATCTCTCAACACGCTGCACATGCTTGTGTGTCAGAGCTGCATGTTTTTGTGTTTTACTTTCCATAGATTTTTTTTTTCCTTCTCTGTTTACAGTTTGAGTAAACAAACACAAATAAGCAAGAGTACACACAGTCTGAGTCCTGCAGGCAACGCCTGGTCATTTAAGTCTGGTCCTACATGGCATATTAATGACAGCTTAGAGGCATGTGACCTCCACGTGCAAGCTAATACCCCTCTGTCAGGTGTGGCTATAGCAAAAAGGTAGCCGTGCTCGGCTGCCTCACAAGAGGAGCAGGGCGTTCCAGAGGTTAGCAGCAGAAAACACATCTGGGTTAGATAGAGCCTGTGTTCTTCTCCCCGCTAGTACAGCAAGAGTGTTTTCTGCCAGAGTGGAATTCCTGTGGCCTGGAGACATGACATTATTTTTCCTTCTCTGTTTACAGTTTGAGTAAACAAACACAAATAAGCAAGAGTACACACAGTCTGAGTCCTGCAGGCAACGCCTGGTCATTTAAGTCTGGTCCTACATGGCATATTAATGACAGCTTAGAGGCATGTGACCTCCACGTGCAAGCTAATACCCCTCTGTCAGGTGTGGCTATAGCAAAAAGGTAGCCGTGCTCGGCTGCCTCACAAGAGGAGCAGGGCGTTCCAGAGGTTAGCAGCAGAAAACACATCTGGGTTAGATAGAGCCTGTGTTCTTCTCCCCGCTAGTACAGCAAGAGTGTTTTCTGCCAGAGTGGAATTCCTGTGGCCTGGAGACATGACATTATTTATTTGTTTTGTACGATTCCTCCCACTACCTCTTACTTTTTTGGAATCCAGTGTGCGCACACGGGTCGAGGCAGAGGAACAGAATGTTTCTGTGGCAGAGTCGCACACAGCCAGCTTTTTGGAACAACAGGCTCATAGAGGAGGAAGCAGCAGCAGCAGCAGCAGCAGCAGCAGCAGCAGCAGAAGCAGCAGCAGCAGCAGCAGCAGCAGCAGCAGCAGCAGCAGCAGCAGCAGCAGCAGCAGCAGCAGCCCTCCCTGCTTTGTTCCAGCAGGTGGAGTGCTTCTGAGTCACAGCTGAAGAAACTGAGTGTTTCCTCCAGCCGTCACCTTGATGACTCTGATCAATCACCTCCATCTTCTGTGTGACAGAGCTGGAAGTGAGAAGCCTGCAGGGGGGGGTTAGCCTGCCTGGACATGCTTCCACACACACGCAGGAAGACTCCCAGGCTCATCATTATCACATTTTATGAGCACTCAAACTCAGCCAGTCACTCATTCACACACTGCACCGGGCTGTCATGTAAATGCTCTCTGCTGGCTGAGTTTGCTGCGACTTGTGGCTCCTCCCTCCCACCCACACTGATCTCAAGCTGCAGAGAGGCTGGACAGGACAGAAGGTGCGCGGGGGCAAAGTCAGCTGTGACTTGTCCTTGTCGGGGGGGCTGCAGGCCAGACGTGGGCTGCCGGGTGATTACTTTATGTAAGGTTGCATTAAACATTAGCTTCCTCTTCTTTTTTGCACTTTTTCCTCAAGACATGTATCCTCGCCCTCTCAACACTTTCAGGAAACTAAAGTTTGGTTTTGCTGTTTACCTTTTCCTTTAAATGTTCTTGGATTGATTTTCTTAAAGCCTTCAACATCCTCCCCTGTGTGAATAATTTAAGATTCATTAATAGAAACCATGAGTGAGCTGTCTGTAAATAAAAACACACTGAGACTTGAATTGGCATCCTGACTTCATATCATCAGCCCCGTAGCTGCTTGTATCAAAGATAATCTTATTCCACTGACATAGTTCTGCATCTGACTCGAGCTGTGTGTCGTGCTTCTGGTGACAAATGTCCTCACCAGAGATTTATCTCCCCGACTCTGAGACGACTGGTCGGGGAGCACCTCAGTGGTGTGTGTGTGTGTGTGTGTGTGTGTGTGTGTGTGTGTGTGTGTGTGTGTGTGTGTGTGTGTGTGTGTGTGTGTGTGTGTGTGTGTGTGTGTGTGTGTGTGTGTGTGTGTGTGTGTGTGTGTGTGTGTGTGTGTGTGTGTGTGTGTGTGTGTGTGTGTGTGTGTGTGTGTGTGTGTGTGTGTGTGTGTGTGTGTGGTGTGTGTGTGTGTGTGTGTGTGGTTTGATGGAATGACAGTGATGCATAATTTAGCTGCACGTTAAAAACATGCTGTGCTGCCTCTCCTCTCTCCTCTCTGTCTGTCCAATCACATCCATCCTCCATTTAGAGACGAGCATTAGAAGGCTCTCTGACTTCTCCTCTTTTATCTTTTTCCCTCAACCCTTTTTTTTTTTTTTTGTGCAAATGAGTCATTTTTTGATTGTTGTCTCTTTTTCTTTTTTTCTTTTTACCCCGGGTCCCTTGTTCCATCCCCTTCTCCCTGCTCTCTTGGCCTTAGTTCTCTGGGTGCAGAGGCTGAGAAGCTCCAGATTGACTACAAGCCGTCTCCACCCCACCTCCCCCCCCCCCCCCTCGCCAGGATTAACCTCTCGCCATTGTTTCTGCCCATTGAACAGGATTAACAAATCAATGTGTCAGGTAGACTGCAGTCAAGAGACAATGACCCAGTTCTGACACCACGGCCCCCCCCCCCCCCTCCACCTCTCCTCCCACTTCTGCCTCACTGCAGCTTTTAATTAAAAAGACTTTGCTTAGCTGGCGCTCTCTGCACTCCCCTGAGGATGCCTCGCAGCTTTTGTTTTCATTTTTTTCCTCCACAAGCAAAGGGTGTGCAAAAAATGTAAGGTGAACCCATGTGTGCTCCTCATTTCTGCAGTGTGTGTGTGTGTGTGTGTTTTTATAGCACACACACTTGTTGTCTGATCAGTGAACACATAGCAACAGATGCAGATCCAGGTGTTTTCCAAACTGTTTCAACCCAAATCCCACAAGGTGATAGTATTATTAGGTGCAGAAGGTGTTCAGAGATTATTTGCTGCTGGATTTGGAACGTAAGCAGCTGTGTCTCTCGTTCAGCACGCTTTGCCCCTGAGGTGGTCACATTAGAAAAGGGATGCCTTTTTTTTGTTTGTTGCAGAGAGTGTGTGCAGAGCAATGCTTGACCTATTGCAAGGTGATTCATTCATCATACACGCTCTGGGGACGACGACATCTGACTGCAGCAATAACAGTAACCAGCTGCAACAAAGGTGTCCGCCTCTCGCCCTTGACTCTGACTCTTCTCTTTTATCCTTGTCAAAAAGGCGCGACTGCTTTTGCATAATTGCTCCCTGTTGCATGCTGAAATTGACCCCTTCCCTTGTATACCTGCTCCCTCCTGTTTCTCGAGTGCTGACACTTGCATAACATCATCCAGGCATGCAGCTAAGACACACAGAGTTAAAGTTCCTGATAAGCCTTTGGAGGATCTTTGGTTGTGACGTTTATATCTGACATTGACACATTTAACTGACCTCCAAAGAGTCGTTGTGACAAATAAGCATGAGCAGCTCGGTGTCTGAGTGTCTGAGTGTCTGAGTGTCTGAGCCGTGTTTGGGAAGAATTATCGCTATATTTGGAACGTGCATTTAACTAATTTAAAGATCTGCAATTATCCTTAAAAATCTAGAGAAACTGCGACTGCAAAATGAGCGTTCCTTGTAGACATTTTACTACAAGATTATAGGTGCTACAAAGCAAATATTTGGACAAACACAGCTAAGTATAACACAAAAAACTGAAGTGCGTTCATAACGTGCTGCAGCAGCTGTAAGTGATTTTGGCCGCGACGCTGCACACAGTAAACAGTTTGATGGTGAAATGATCTTTTTTATGGGGAAAGTAAAAGCCTACTTTTCCAATTCCACATCGTTGTAGGGAGTGTCAGCAGCTGGACTCGAGCCCAGTCATGTCTTCCCTCTCCCCTCCACTTCCTTCCTTCCTTCCTCCCTCCACCCCTCAGTTATTCAGAATTCGGACTGCGATGATGACCCGGTCTTCTCTTGAAGTCCGCTTTCCCAGAAGTTGTGAAGAATTTTTTCTGTCTGTTGTTTGTCAGAGCTCGTGACGCATCTAATGTCCCTCTAAACACCCCCCAAGAAAACATGTTCATCTTTTGGTTTTGTTATTCCTGGAACGAGTTGAGAGAACTGGAAAATCTACAACAGTATTAATTATTGGCTGGATTAGATGAGAAGATATCAGTGACATTATCACAAAGAGACTGTTTTACAGATGGTGGTGTTTTATAAATGACACTCCTTTTCCTCCTGAACTCAAGATCATTTTTTTCTCCTGTTTCTCCGCCTGCCTGTCTCTCTCTCTCTGTCTCTCTCTCTGTCTCTCTCTCTCTCTCTCTCTGTCTCTCTCTCTCTCTCTCTGTCTCTCTCCCCTCTCTCTCTCTCTCTCTGTCTGTCTCTGTCTCTCTCTCTGTCTCTCTCTTTCTCCATCTCTGTCTCTCTCTCTCTCTGTCTCTCTCTCTCTCCCTCTCTCTCTCTCTCTCTCTCTCTCTCTCTCTCTCTCTCTCTCTCTCTCTCTTCTCTCTCTCTCAAAGGATTGATTGTTTTTATCGCTGAACCAGCAGCCCCTCTCACGGGAGCACTGAAAGAACACATGCACAAGTTGCATAAGAAAACATGTAAACAGTGCATAGCTGTACATATTTACAATGAAGGAAAACACTGAATAGGAAAAAGCTGCAGACTGCTTTGATTCAGAAATCTGATAAGCTAAAGGTAATAATGATTGACATTTTAATGTCTGTGTCTCCATCATTTGGTCACCTCTCGTGCTCGGGTTTATTTCCCTCTAATCAATGCATTTTGCTGCTCTGATGGGATTTGGAAGAGGGCGAAGGGTCCAGTAATTGTTGACTTATGTGAATAGGCCTGATTGATTGCTTCCTGTGCTGTGGCTTATTTCCACTCTCAGCTGAGTGCAGCACGAGATTTGGATGCCTACGGTCTCACATGGCCAAGCACAGGACTCGCTTGTACCATTAACTCTGGAAAAAAAAAACACAACGCCTGTGTGTGTGCACAATACCTTCAACCTGTTTCCACTGCTTCTGATTGTTTTATATTGAAAGACCTTAAAATAGCTCTGAAGTATTTGTTAATAACCCCCTCCGTATGCTCTTTTTCTTCTTTTTTCTTGGCAGATTGTTCGCTGCTAACGCAATGAGTGGGCTTCTCAAGAGGAAGTTTGAGGAGGTGGATGAGGACCCCTGCTACTCCTCGCCCTCCTCCCTCTCCTCGGCCTGCTCCGGCTGGGACTCGGAGGGGGAGAGCTGCTACTCCGACACCCTCGATTCCACTCCGAGCAACCCCAGTTCCCCAGCAACACATTTCAACAGTGAGTGTCCTCTCTCCTTGTGACAGTAAATCATCAGAAAGAGCTGATGGTACATGCTTTTTTAACGCACTCCCTCGCCTTGTCTTTACTGCTCCGCGGAGGGCTCTGATAACAAAACCATAAAAATGGAGGAGAGTTAGAGGAATTTAGGCAGCTGGCAGCTCATGAAACACTTCACAGAAATGATTTCAGACTTCTGCAATGAATACCCCCCTTTTGATTTCATGCCCTAAAGCTGCAAAATGGCTAATCGTATTATGCAGTGGCTGCTCACCTTGGCTGGCTCTATAACTTTTGCAGACGGGGAAAAAAAAAAAAGCATCACTTTTCCCCTCAAATGACACGGGTCGAGCTGCTTCAGTGTGTTTCTGTCTCTGGATCTGGGGATGCTGCCGCTGGCCTTTAGAGGTTTCGGTCAGGGGTTGAAGAGAGATTGTAAGGGGAGGGAGAAGGGGCAAAACAGTTGTGAGGTTTCCAGGATGGAGGGGGCAGAGAGCCAGGAGGAGAAAGAGCTGGCAGGTTGCCACTGCCTGGGAACACACAGAGCCTTGTGTTGAAGCCTGGGCATGCACCCAGCACAGGTGCTAGAAGAGGCTGGGTGAAGGGATACAAAAAAGAAGGGGGGATTGGCCTATCAAGAAAAGAAAGCAGATTGAGCAGACCAGTATAAATCTGGTGTTTGTGTTGGACGGAAAGTTGCATGCCATTGTGAAGTGAAAGAGGGGGAAATGGGCAGGAAAGCGTTCTCGTTTGGAGGCAGCAGAGAAGGTGTCATTTGTCTCCTGCAGGTGTTGTAAGCCTGGCTGGATTTGATGGATGTGAAGCTGAAACTGGCAGTTTGTTTCATCTCCATTACCCCGAGCGACTGATTAAACAACACAGTGAAGCTTATTGTGTGCAGCTGCATTGAAGTCAAAGGTTGTTTTTTTTATTCTTCATCCGAGCCTCACTTAATCAAAGAAAACACACAGATTTTTTCCCCCAGTTGACGTCAGCAAATTTCACGGGCTAGCTGATCAGGGTGTGTCCCCAAGGAGGTGCCAAAGCCTTGAAAATGAGAGTCTAAGAGGAATTCCCCCTTCCAAGTAGTATCATCACGTCTGTAAAAACTGTAGCAGGGGGAGAACATTGTCTTCAAGCGAACTCAAAAGTCGTGTTTAATATTCCTATAGGCAAAGGAAGTGGAATATAATTGTTGAGCTCGTTCCCACATATGGTTCCATTTTTGATTCCCATATGGTTTTATTGTATCCGTCTGGGTGCAGAAAGATGTCTGGTTTGCTGAATGTTTTTAGCAGTGAAGCAACCTTTGACTCCTTTTGAGTTATTGGGCCATTTGTAGGGATTTTCAGCTTGTAAGGAAAAAAACCAGGGTGGGCATATTTTTTTTATTCCTGTCCCGAGAGCTGACTTCCACCCTCCAACTCTTTCCGGAAAGCCCAGAGCATTAACTCCCCGGTCAGTGTGATCCTGGCAGCTCTGCTTCCTCCTGTGTCCTTACCACCAAGTGGGAAATTCCTGGGCTGGGTGGTTTGTGTCGCGCGGTAGAAACAAGAAACAAGGCCGAGGGAATTCTTGGCGGTTTTAGGTTTCACTTTACAGGATGTAAGGGTGTTGGACTTCCTGTTAGCGGCGTCTTTTAATTGGGTACATGATAAGCCTTGGCCAGTGAATCAGAGGGGTGTCCTTTTACAGCCAGGCTCAGCAGGGTTTGTGCTCATCTCAGTTCATCCAAGTCCAGGAGGATAAGGCCCTCTAGTGGTGCATGAACGCAACTGAAGCATTTTTTTAAAACAAATGCATCCCTGTTCTAAATGTTCTTTTTTCTTACGTCCACAGCGACGTCCATCCTGAAGAAATCCAAGAGAGCGCGACGGAGCAATGTGACCTTCGACCAGGTGACGGTGTTCTCCTTCCCTCGGTGCCAGGGCTTCACCAGCGTTCCCAGTCGAGGAGGATGCACTCTGGGTATGATGCAGCGCCACAGCGTGCTCCAGACGTACACGCTCGCCGAGTTCGCCGTGGAGCAGCGGCTCCTGCGGCGGGAAAAGTTCCTCAACAGACTCAGAGAGGAGAAGCTGGAGGCTCTGAAACTGAAGGTGAGAAGAGTGGACCTGAATATATAATATCAACACTAATACCAAGACTTGTCACAGGATTTACCTTAAAGCTTATTGGTTTGGGATCAAGTTCCCATTTGTTGATGCCACAATTTAGGCGATATCAGAGACACCGCTGCTGATACTGAGTTTGTTAACGGCATATTCAAGTATTCAAGCTTATTTCAACAACATGGTTCCTTTTTGTTCTCCTCAGCTGACCAAGAATGGAACTCAAGAGAATGAGGAGGCCGAGCGGCTAACTGTGGACGACATCCCGGAGCACGAGATCGACATCGCCGGGACCAACCTGGAAGAGGGCTCGTTCCTCCAGCCTTACCCGCCCAAACGCCGCTACGCTCTACTCAAGGCCGCCGGTGTGAAGAAGATCGACAAGGAGGAGAAGAGGCAGCTGCACGACCTGAGGATCTCCAGGGAGAACTGCGGCTGCGACTGTCAGGGCTTCTGCGAGCCCGAGACGTGCGGCTGCAGCCTGGCTGGCATCAAATGTCAGGTAAGAGTCGAGAAGAGGTTCAACAGTTAAAGGCTTTATATTTGATTTTTTGATCCAGCAGATGTCGCCCTTGAGCACCAGCATGAAACCAAAACAACTGGCGCTGCATTGTTGTGTTAGCATGCTAATGCTAGCGATCTTTATTATGCTGGTATCTTCACACTGCATGTAAATTGACCTGAAATGAGCGTGATCTAGAAACACAGTTAAGCAGTGAGTACAGTATGTTATTCTTCTTTTCTCTAGTCCCTCAATTAAACAACTTTTATACACGAGGGGAGGAGTCAGCCGGCCGTCCTGGCGATGTAAACAAAGTGCAGATAGGACTCTGAAAACTCTGAAAACATCACAGACAGTGGGACTCGGGTGTTACACCCATTGTAGACAGTCATGACTCACAGAGTTATTTTCAGAGGCTATACTTGATTTCTATTATATTTAAATGTGATTATAAAGTCTTTAAGTCTGTTTCACATTTTGGACTTACAGTTTGACTTGAATTTAACAAACTCTTTCTTCAATCCAACAGATGGATCATTCCTCGTTCCCATGCGGCTGCACCAAGGATGGCTGCGGTAACATCGAGGGCCGCATCGAGTTTAACTCCACCCGGGTGCAGACGCATTACATCCACACCATCATGAAGCTGGAGCTGGAGAAGAGGCTGGAGGAGCAGTCCAGCACCGAGGAGGAAGAGGACGAGAACTCCACGCGGGGCACCACCTTACCCGCAGTGCCCTCTTTCCCCTTCAGCTCGGAGCAGGCGGCGGCCGGGGAGAACAGCTGCAGCAGCAGCGACATGACAGACTCGGACTCGTCGGGCCACAGCGAGTACTCTGAAGGAGGCGAGGGCCTGTGCGGTGAGAATCGCACCCAGCTGGACGTCGACGAGAAGGGCTTGAGTCGCATTCTCAGCTTCAGCGAGAACTGCTCGAGAAGCAGCCGGGACAGCGGGGAACGCAAAGACATTTTCTGCCAAGATCAACGGCAAGACCAGCAGCAGTCGCACACCGAGGCTTTCAGAAGCTTCAGCATGGTGGATTTCGCCGACGAGAATGACAACATAGACGCTGCTTTGTTGGACGATCACACAGACAATCGAGCGATGGCCATCTCAGAACTTTTAGACGAGAACGCCAACCAAGGAAACGCACTATTTCATAGCAGCAGCGTACCGCGCACGCCATCACCCACCGTGGACCGCTCGGCGAGCTACAACATGGACCTCAGCCTCTCGTCGGAGTCCGACCTGGAGTTCTTCGACGGGTTTCCCTGCTTGGGACCGAGCTCGCTCTACAACTCCCTGAAGGAGTACGAACACATGGACAACTTTTTCCACTTCCAGTTGCCTAGCTACCCCAGTCTCCCTCCGGTGAGCGACCCGGGGACGTGCCTCCTGGAGTCGCTCATCGGCCTTTCGGAATCTGTCCCGGAACCCCCCGCCACATTTACGGACAATCAGCTGTTGGAGGAAGCCATGAAACTATCCGTGATGGAGTCTGTGAAAGTTTGACACAAAAATGTACGGACAGTGCACAAAAAACAAAAATGGAGGTTTTCTCTGTGAGGGGACTGAACATGCACATAAGAAGATGTTTTGAGGAAGCTGTGATTTCCCCTCTTGCCTAAATAAATGTTCAAATTCCAGACTTGCCTTCAAAATGTTAGCAAAGCAGTGTGAGGATTATTGCTGTGTGAGATGGCAGCTAGTGTTAAAAGATTTTTAAAAGAGAGATCAATTCGACCCGGCCCGGAGAAAACCAATGAAGGCTCTCGATTCCTAAGAAAGCTCTTTTAACCAAACGGAGACCACCAACCTTTGTGCTTAAAAAAAATAGAAAGGCATCTTTTAACCAGAATAACCAGGGGGCCAGGTTGGGAATCTCAACACAGCTGAATGTGCACCTCAGGGATTTTTTCTAGCTTTCTAGCTTTTGGAGGCAATGTATGGTGACCATTGCTGTGATGGCCTTTATATGAAATGAAAAACTCACTTTGTGTTTCCTCGAGTAGGCCGGGTCGTCCCTGTGTTGAACCCTGAAGCTAGCAGACTCTCTCCTCAAGATCCCTCCCAAGGGTCTTAAGTTTATGGTACAAAAAAGAAAATCCCTCTTAAAAAACAAAAAGCTCCTCGATCAGCACTTTATCTGTGAAAATAGTATGAAAAGGCATTGTTTTGGTTTTATGGGATCGAATCAGCAGATCAACGCTAACAGATGGAGTTCTTTATTTATGGAAGGGTAACAGGAAGTAACGCTCGCATCATTCAGAAGCTGTAGCTGTGTTGTCTTTATTACTCTTGTTTTAAATTATTTTCCTTCATGATTTTATTCTATTTATTTCAGATAAAGTTTCACTCAAGACGCACTGTGGTTTGATATTTTTTAACCTGAAAGTGCAATCTTTCTTTTCCCTTTTTTTTTTTCCATATCACATTTAGGCGGGAAATGGGGACCACGAGTCCGTCAGAAAGTATTTAATATCTATACTCTTACACATTAACTTTTTATTTACTTTTGATGTAATTTAATTATGATGTCATCATTTCATTTTAGTTATTTAATTTTTGAGACGTTTGGCAATAAAAGTAAAAATGGCTTGTTGTGGAGCGAACTGGCCGTGCCTGCTTACTGGACGAGCCACGCCTGCCTTTCTCCCGACGGCGTGCGCACAGTGCTTCCATTTAAGCTTTTTTGGGGACTGAAAACTGTGGATCTCCCGAATCACTGAGACGAGAAAAACGATGGCTCTATTGTAATGCTGCCTATAATGTAAGCATAGAAAATGACACTAATATTTTGTAACTAATTTATGTAGGTGGACGAAAGAATTCTAATCACTGACAAATTGAATATTTTATTATTAAGAAAGCAAAAAATAAAAACGAGTAATTTTCCACCCTGGGGGGGAAACCTTTGTGATATATGAATTATAGAGAAATGTCTACGTATGAAGGGTTTCACTCTCCAGCATTCAGAGGTATTTTTCATAGGCAGCCTTACGCTTTGATATCTTCACAAAAATGCCACTTGGAAAAAAAAAAAAAACGAGTAAATTGCAAAGATCAATTTGATTGTATTCAGTCTGTGACTCGGGTTACGCTATGTTAGAAATGACACGTGAAGGGGTTTTCTTTTGGTGGATAAAAACTGCATATATTATACACTTTTTATCGCACGCTGAAGCCCTGAAAGTTGGACGAGTTTCCTCGTTTTATGACAGAACCTGATCAGAGGTGATGAGCAGCTGAGGACAGTCGATGTACATATCTCACCCCCCCTCTTTCTGCAGCTGTGTCAGCAGCCTATCTGGACCCTTTAGGAATTATGCATGCAGGTCCTGTTTGTTAAAACTTGTTCTGATTAATTGTATACTTTGAAAAGTGCAGCGTGCACATCGGAAAAATGTATTATTCGCTTTTTTTTCTTTTTTTGCCTTTTTTTTTTCTTCTTCAGATTACTTTTGAAATCCATCCAAGAGGGCACTGATTCTTTTTGCAAGCAAAACGTTCATTTCTCTTGTACAAAACATCAATTCTCATGAAGAAATGGCATCAGTGAGTGTTTCTCGATGTAATGTATTTAACAGTACAGCTTCTTTCTTTTTTTCTTCTTTTTTTAAGTTTATTTTCAAAGAACGTGTCTTACTTTTTTTTTTTTTGCCTTTTGTGTTGTACATATTTCTGCTTGAATGGTCCTGCAGAGCAAACAAAGCTGCTTTATTTTTTACATATTCACACTTTAACCCGCTGTTCAAAGACAGTTTCTTTCATCTAAGCCATTTTGACAGCCTGTCCCTCCAAATAATAATAAAAAAAAAACATTTTCTAAACGCTTGACTCATCTTGTTTGTTGTGCTGATTTGTTCAAGTGAACTTCATGCTACATTAGAAACCTTTTTGTGAATTTTCAGAGGCGACCAAAACCCTCACAGGTTCATGTTTTTCGACATATTTGATGATCCTTTTCTTCCTAAGAGGACACTTAATGCATTTCAAACTTGCTCAGTTTCTTGGAGTATTTAAGGCAGAAGGCAGCAGAGGCTTGCATTAGTTAAATTCATGTTCTTTTAGTTAGTTTCTTCATGTGAACCACAGGAATGCATCTGCGGTTTGGAGTCTCCATGCTTAAGAAAAACACTTTACATGAAGTCATGCCGAAGTCTCCTGACTGACGCCACAAACGTAAGGAGAGAAAGAAATTCCAGACAGACCTGTGACTGTTTGAAGCTCACGTTTGTAAAACCATGAAGAGAAATAATAAAGTAGGCTTTCCTACACTCTGACTCTCTGAGTTTACCTCGATGCCACGGGGAGCTTTTGAGCGTAAAATCTCTTTGGTATTTGGTTCAACGTTCAGAGGAATTTGGGTGAACTGGTTTTGCAGCTTGAGGTCAAAACTTCAGGGTTGTTTTTAAAAGAAATCTTTTCTGCTTTTGTTGCTTTTTGAGCAGTAACACTTGAACTGTGACCCCATTCACAGACCTGTCATTGTCACTTGTCAGGCAACACATTTCTGAGAAAGTAAAAGGAGCCAGTCTGGTTTTAAAGCTACACATGATACACTGTCGCCACCCTGTGGTTGAATTAGGAGCTGCAAGCACATCCATGCAAGAATTACACACATTATGAATAAGATGCGTTTTTTATTTTATTTCAATGGTTCCATTCCACAGTGTGAGAAAAATCCCCTTTTTCCATCTGTAGTTTTTTATCCAATCACCTGGAGAGAAAACAAAACCAAAGAAATAGAAGTCAGGAAAGCTGATAAAATTTCAGAATCTCATGGTAGAGGGTAACACACTTACCGAGTAGATCCAGTCACTGAAGAACGAGACTCTGGTGAAGACGGTGGGCTTCCTCACTTGGTTGCACATTCCAGCTGGACCGTAACTGACGACCCCGTGGATCCTCCAGACTCCGTCATGAAACAGTTCAGGGGACCTCCGGAGTCGCCCTGTGACAGAAACAACAACAAAGAAAAGAAAAACAGAGAGAGACACACAAGAGTTATAGGGCAGAGCATCCCCCCTTTGGGCCTTGTGTCTTAAAAAAGCTGACACACACACACATGCACAAACAGGATCCTATGGACATGCACTGATCGAGGGATGCCAGGGTGGGGGGCCCACAAGGGGTTTGCACATGCTCCAGGTAAACTGGTTTTCAGGACCAAGCCGCCCCTGCATTAATCTGATTTGTACATTTGTTTTTCATTACCTGGCACCCTGAAATGACTCCATCCCCTCCGGCACACACCATGCTCTTCCGAGCGAGGGTGCCCCACCACTCATGCTGTGAGCAGACTGAATGCTCCACCACGTTGATGGGCGCCACCTGCAGGATTTCAGGGACGCTCCCCATATCTGTGAGGAGAGTGGAGAGACATGCATTGATAATTTGCATTGGAAATAGGCACCACCCATGAAAATGTCTGGGCCCGTGAACAGGCCTTCATCAGATTTAATTTTAGGATATCAGTGCATGCATGTCGGATAGCGTTAGTCTCCTCCTGGATAAGACTCTCCTCCTCGTCCTGTCTGCAATCGGCATGGCATTTACATTACAAAAAGAACGCCCACCCATTAAAAAAGAGGCGGTTTCATCAGTTATGTTGAGTCTTTGGATTTAAAATAAAATTTGGTGATCGTTGATTAAATTTAGGATGGACCATGTTTCTGATGATCTCTATGGGGGGCCCCAGAAAGCCTTCCCCACCTTCCCCTCTTATGGTCAAGTGTGTGTGTGTGTGTGTGTGTGTGTGTGTGTGTGTGTGTGTGTGTGTGTGTGTGTGTGTGTGTGTGTGTGTGTGTGTGTGTGTGTTTTCTTACAGTCCATCAGACCCCAACCGGTGATGTAACAAGTGAAGTCATGAGGGAGCATCTGTTCCGGGGCCGGGAGCTCGCCGATTGCAATATAGCCGTTGTCATAAACAGGCTCAGCCAGCCTCATGATGGCGATGTCGTTTCTAAAAGAGAACCAAAATACATCCAACGAGAGAATCTTATCACCACGTTTTTATTATACAGAAAAGTTTGGACTGCCTCGGGTTCAGAGGGAGGAAGTACTACAACAAGTGGTAAATTGAGTTGCTAATTCTGTCTTTGTAGAGCACGTTTCAGTACAGGTAACAAAGTGCTTCACAGTGTGTAATGTAAACAAACCAGTAAACAAACCAGTAAACAAACCAGTAAAGCAAACAGACAAATAGAATGAACCAGTACTAAATCACAGAGTAAAAGCTTTTTTGTCAAAGAGTGTCTGAAGTAGAGAACTAAAAGGAGGGACTGATTCTGCAGGTCTGATCTCCTCTGGCAGTCTGGGGGGGCTCTGACAGTTAAAGACCCGCCCCCCTTTTGGTTTTCAGCCTGGACCTTTAAAGAGCCAGCAGAGCGCCACCAGAGGATCTCAGCCTGGTTCATAAGAGGGGGGTCTGACTTTCTGTCTTTTTACCCGTTGCCCAGGTCTCCGGTCCACTGAGGATGGATGTGGATCCTTTCCACGCTGATGAACTGCTCGCTGCCGTCGTACTCGTACAGGTTATACTCGCCAGCGACCACACGGTACCCCCTGGGATCCGTACTGAATAGAAGGAAGGAAAAACAAAGACGTGGATGTTAGCAACACTAGCTTCTGGCACACCAAAAACAGTTCCTTTATTTCAAGTTTTTTGTGGCTGAAACTTAAACATACAGAGCTTTTATTTTGAAGTTGCACAGTTCATTCTTCCTGATTCCTGCTCCAAAAATAAATAAAAAACAGTAAATGTTGTTACTGTGTCGATGTTTACGAAATAATTATAAATATAAGAATCATTTTGTTTGTCAAAGCTTAACCTTAAATCCTCCTGAACTTAACAAAATAAAAGTCTTTATTTATTGTGAAGATTTACAGTTGGGGTTGTTACATTAGTTTGTTTACGAGTGTATAGAAATGTCAATAAAAAGTGATAAGAAAGCAAACCTGAGGATACAGTGAGCTGCTGTCATGATGTGGAAACCGTCGATGATAGAGCCTCCGCACATGTGGTAGTAAGAACCGTCATTGTATGAATCATACTGGAGAGAAATCTGAGAGGAAAACAAACACAAATCAAACACTCACTGATACAGAATCAATAAAAAAATTAAAAAATAAAAAACTTTTTGTATTTTCAAAAGAGCAAAACACACAAAATTGTATTTAATTGTTGTTGTATAAGAAAAAAAGTAATGATTCTGGTTTTACCTGCCACTTCCAGGTGTTGTGGTCGGCATTGCTGCCTCCGATGACCCTCTCATTGTGCACGTTGTGGTTGAAGGGCGCCTCAGCCCAGATGAGCCCTTACAGGAGAAAACATGAGCAGAGGGTAAAGCATCGTTTCTCTTTGTTCACACAGTCCCTCACTGAGACAGAGCGTAGATCGTTTTTTTTAGTCGACTTCAGGAACAACTCACCAATGCAGGACAGAAAAGCCACGAGCCCAAACATCTTGGAGCAGTTAGGAGTCAATGGCACATTGGATTTTTTAACTATTTATATCCCTGAGAGACAGAAAGACCTTCAGAAAGTGTTGGGCAATCATTAAGTTTGGTGCCAATATTAGTAAATCAATGAGGATATTTCCTGAGTGTATTCCAGACATAAAAAAAACAAGTTTGAAACAGGAGCTTGTGTTTATTATCACGGTGGGAAAGGAGCAGGTGTGTGCACATGCTGGACCATCTGTAAGGCGTGCAACTCAAACACAACTTTTCCTACAGATAGGCTAAGTGTTTGAACTTATCAACAACTCGTGGAAATGACAAAATGTTCCACAGACTGTTTACAGTTCTTTATTTTGTGATGTGTTTTTAGATGTGGGGCGGCTGTGGCTCAGTGGTGCATGTGCGATGTGTCCTTGGGCACGACACTTAACCCCAGGTTGCTCCTGCTGCTTTGTCGGTGGTGTATCAATGTGTATGTAAAGAAATATACAAGCTCAAGTCTATTCAGCGATCTAGTAGATCTAAAAACTGCTCAGATAATGTACAAGGCACACGATCATTTGCTTCTGAACAGTATTCAGAGTTTTTTTGAAACTAGAGAGAGCCGGTATGAATTAAGGGGAACAGGTGTGTATGGACAAACATAAAGAACAGGTGTGTAGGGACAAACATAAAGAACAGGTGTGTAAGGACAAACATAAAGAACAGGTGTGTATGGACAAACATAAAGAACAGGTGTGTATGGACAAACATAAAGAACAGGTGTGTTTCAGTAAAAGGAGTTAACTTGTGGAATTAAGAATGTGTAGTTCACTTTCCAGATTTAAATTTTTGTTTATAAAATGTTTTTTAACAAATATAAAAGGTCGGTTTGATTATCTTTTGTGAGTGTGACTTCTGTTTTTTTGTTTGTTTTTGTTTTGTTTTGAAAGAAATTCTTGTTCAAATTTTGTTCTGATATGTTTTTTTGTAACCAAACTAGTCGTGTCTTAAATAATAAGATTTGTAATAAGGGTAGGTGTAATGAGCTAAAGCTTCAGCCGACACCTTTTGGTCAAAATGTTTTTGTTTTTTCTTGTGACCGAAATAAATGATTACTACTACTACCACTATTTACACAGGCTAATCCCATTCATACACATGTATACACCACCGACAAAGAAATTTGGGGTCAAGTGTCTTGCCCAAGGACACATCGGACATGTCGCTGCAGGAGCTGGGGATCAAGTCCTCAATACTTCCGGTTGAGAGACAATCGCCTCTACCACTGAGCCACAGCCGGCCCTCACTCGGAGTGTGACCTGTGGAGTAAAAGCGCTTTTAAGGAGTCAGAAGACTAGAACAGATACAAGCTCAAATCCATTTCTCATTTATATGAAGCTTTGTTCAAAAAGAGTGATGAATATATAAAAAGTCATTTCTGCAACATACTTCTAGGCCAAACGTGCAACATAGCTGCAGTTATTATTTTAGTTTTTATTGTGATGCTGCATTGTTGTGATAAAGGGAACGACAGAAGAGGTTGTGAGTGACTTCAAACTTGCAGGTTCAGGTTCAGGTTCAGGTTCAGGTTCCTTTATTTGTACCTGTAGGTAGGTTTGGTTGCAGGGAGAGACACTTAATACAACACAGACAAAACATAAAACACACAAAGTGCAAATGGACTTTCCAATCACAGCTAATAAACTTGATCAACAAGTTGATCTGTAAAAGCTACAGAGCCGAGAACACCACAATAAATAAAACTTTATAAACTAGCCTCACTGTCCTATTTTCATGAATGAGATTAAAGCTTTAACCTTCGCCAAGGACGACGAATCGATCCCTGCTCAGCTCGATTGCTCTGGCATCTTTATTTATTAGCTTTGCCTGCTGTGCCTCCTCTCTCTTCTTCTCTCTCCTGTCGGCGCTAAGCTAGCTCCAACCAGGCTGAATATCTTTCAGTAATGACTTCTAGCACCTCTGTCCCTCAGTGACATCCATCCACACATCTGTACGGGACAGCAGAGAGCCATGGGGCTGCCACAGAGCTCCTTCCTGTCGGACGGGGGGACTAGTTGTGGATATCATGTCCACGGGGTACGTTGCAGCGAGGTCCCTGAACGCACCGCCGGTCACTTTCTGAACGTGTTTTTTTAAAGATAATTTACCTGCAAAATCTAAAAGTGTGGTGCATGCATTGTTTCTGCATTAATCTAAGAAGTTTAGCTGCTTCTTTGTGACTGTCATGTGTTTGTCTGTCAATGTGGTGTTACGTTAGAACTCGTGGTGTCCGCCCATGATGAGCTGGCATTTGGCAAACGCCCAAACAAACTGTTTAGCATTTAGCAAAGACTGCAGCTGTGTAATAATGCACAAACTGAAGCTCTGAAGTGTGAGTTATCATCTTTAAATATCAACTTGTTCACCAGGCTGGGTGAACAAGGGTGCAGGTGTTATGTCGAGAAATGCACACCCTGCCGGAAGTGTTTTAAAACAGTATAAATCTTGTCTGTGAAGTTCATTCTTATTGAAGTGAAGTGTTCTTCTTGTTCTGCAGACTCGGTAGAAAACACTTTTTCATTAACCTGCAGATATCTGACTCCAAACTGTGTTTGACTCTTAAGTGTCTGTAGAGGAAATTTAAGGATGGATGCAAAATACTATGAGGGACAAAAAATGACTAAAGTATAAAGAAATACATAAATATATATATATATATATATATATATATATATATATATATATATATATATATGCAACAGTTCATATACAAATTAATATATAAATAAATATATTCTTATATTTATTTATATTTCTGTGTCCATGTTGTTCAAGGAAAAGTAAATATGTAAATTAAGTGGGCCGTCTAACATTACTGAAGTAGGATTGGTCAATTTTGAAAAACAGACAGAAGCAAATTTCCATAAATACTTTTCCTCTTACGACCTGGACACAGAAATAAATAGATGTGTAAATGTAAAAATACGGAAATAAATTAATAACTCAATTAATGTGGAAATGTATTCATTGATACATAATTAACTGTAGAAATACTAATAAATGAATAAATACATGTAAAAATATATAAATAGACTTTTTCATTAACAAATTATATTTCTTATTTATTCATTGATGTATTGTTTTCAGCATTTATTTATTTATTGTTTTATTTATACTTTAGTCATTTTTTTGTCCCTCATAAAATACGGCAGTGTAGAAATTGTGTCTGCCATAATTTGCACTGTCCTGCAAAGTGCATGCATTTCTCAGCAGGGATGCATTTCTCTGCATGACACAGGACCCCCCCTAAATTCTGGACAGTGTGATATCATTACTTGACACAAGGGGGCGACATAACACAGCCCTCTGAGTGTTAAATCATTCTTGTGTTGATTCATATTTCAGATCCAGGAGGACTCTCCTGCATTCAAATCTGGTCTGGAGCCCTTCTTTGACTTCATCCTCTCCATAGGAAACACCCGACTCGTGAGTAGACGCCCTGATGCTTTAGTGGAGGTCGCTTTTACATCCATTGTAAATATTGTCTAAGAGAAATCAGTGCACGACAAACACTGGGATAAATTGACTGGATTATAATGAATGCAGGAGTGGGAATGATATCATGAGATTAAGAACAATGACTTCCTTTTATGTCTTTATTATAATAAACAGAATGTGGAATCAACAGGGGGATCTATACTTTGTCAAACATATCAAGTCTTTAGTCAGAATTTTATCGAACAGCAAAGATTTATTTCTTAGTTTTCTCTTGGTTCTGACTCGATGCAGTTTCTGTTTTGCTGTAATATGATTTGATTTCCTTTTGAACATCATTTTATTGATTTCTGCCTCGACAGAGTTCTTTCTCTCCCTCTCCACAATGAAGTTAAAACATCAGGCATGAGTCACAGCGGCCCCTCCCAGCCTGCTATAATCTTATTTTATATCTTTTTACATAACAGCTGCTTCCCCCGTTGTCTCTCATCGTCACAGCTGGAAAAGCCCAAACGTCTCTGTGGGGAACTTTCCGGAACAGTGAAGCCGCCGAGAGGCTGAGCTCGGGACTCGTACCAAAACAATCACTGAGACACCAAAAATATGTTTTAGTTTCTATTCAACCTTCATGATAACGTGCATTAACTCATAATCAAAAGAATCACAGTGAGAGCAAAAACTAAAATATGAAGACCCAGCTCTCCCTCTCTTGAGCCACATCCCCACCCATACCCATGTGACCCGCTGTGCCCCCTGCTCCACCTTATACTACAATAAATTAAATCCTAAACACAACCCGTTACAAACCGTAATCTTAAAAACAAGACTTTGATTCATTCAATCTGTATTTCTGTAGAGTAAAGAAAGCGACCTGCTCAAAGACCTGCTCAAAGCTAACGTGGAGAAAGCGGTCAAACTGGAAGTGTACAACTCCAAAACCCAGCGGGTGAGGGAACTGGAGGTGACACCCAGTAACATGTGGGGCGGTCAGGGTCTGCTGGGCGCGAGCGTCCGCTTCTGCAGCTTCGAGGGAGCCAATGAGAACGTTTGGCATGTCTTGGTAAGTCGAGCTTTCATTAATATTTTTATTAATTACATTTTTTATTGAGTCATAAGTTTCCAGTGGAGGGAGGTTTTCAGAGGAGTTCAGGGGTTTCTTTACACCCAATAAAAAGTCAGATTCTTGTCAGCTTGGGAACACCAAATACGCAAACGTTGGTGTTTCTCTCGTACTTAAAGGTCACATGATGCTAAATCCACTGAAATAGAGGGGTTTATAGACATGATCAAATACAGGATCAGAGTGGATTTAGAACAAGAAACTTCACACACATGTTTTGAGGAGCTCTGAGATTTATTTATACTGGTTTTAAAAAATGAGAATATGTGACCTTTAAGATCTCATATAACAGTACGATTTCAGGTAAATTGAAATCATACACCATGTGAATAATTAAATAAACACCATATTTTTCAGGATGTTGAGTCCAGTTCTCCTGCAGCTTTGGCCGGCCTCATGGCTCACAGTGACTTCATTGTGGGAGCTGACCAGGTGCTGCAAGACGTAAGCTTTCCCTGTTGGTCTTTTTACTAAATAAATGGGAACCAAAACATATTCATGAACATGATTTTAAATTCCTCCCTTTTGTTTTATCCCCAATCCAGTCAGAAGATTTCTTCTCTCTGATTGAAGCCAATGAGGGGAAACCTCTGAAGCTGCTGGTGTATAACACACACACGGAGCACTGCAGGGAGGTGGTGGTGACTCCAAACGGAGCGTGGGGAGGAGAGGGAAGGTAGGGGACTCCTCATGTCGACCCCAATATTGACAGACTCATAAAAACATGTGTAGTTACACCCTGGTTTCATTTGTCTTTAAAAATTAGCTTAGGCTGCGGCATCGGCTACGGCTACTTGCACAGAATCCCGACTCGTGCAGCTCAGACCCAGCGACCAGAACAACCAGACTGAATCAGCTGTGATTCACAGCGAGGACGAGCTGGCTCCACCTGAACACACTGAGGTGTGTGTTATTACATCTCACTATTATTCAGCATTCAAAGACTTGTGTTGAGTTGAAACCATGTTTTCTGTTCTTAGGTGCCTCCAGCTGCAGAGATGGACCCCTCCAGGGTCAGCACTTTAGATTTAAATCAAATCAGAGACGCTGTGCAGGACGTGTGTGAGACCTCACCCACACAGCCCGCTGTACACTCAGGTAACCACATCTTAATTTAAGAAGACAGAATGTCTTCTCTGCGCCTGATTCAGTCGACGCTCTCCGTCTTTTTAACACAGATTTGAATACATATGTTTGTCTTTTTTTAAATTGCAGATATTTCCAACGTACCCGAAGCAAAGACTCCAGATTTGTCCGACCTGGTTTCAAACGACGACACTGACCAGAACTCCATGCTCGATAATTCTGCAGACAACTCTTGTGATCAGAGTAGTCTGG